CATATGTTCCAGACCAGCAAGTAGCCCAAGCCAATCACAAGATAATGACTATGCATTTAACCCTTCATAGTATCACCTACGCACACTCCAGAACAGAGAGCTATGATAGGAAGCCTGAGGTACACAGCTGACAGAGGTGGCATGGGTGGCTTTGGCTGTCAAACAGATGGACACTGACTGACTCTCTCAGGACCTCTGATATAAGCAAAAGGCATAGCTGGATTACAGGCATTTGGTTTGTGTTCAGGAAGTCAACCATCAAAGGAAAATTAGAAACTATTGCAAAGATAAGCTCTGATCCCAGCCTCCAGGCATGCAGCAGGATGCTGGGTCACTCTGGGGAGTGATTCTGGACTCTGGCCAGGTTATTAATTAAGCTCTAACCACCAAGTCCAAAGGAACTCCCTATCAATTAGTGAACAGCTGAAAGCCCATGAGACTTAAGGCCTCCCAAGGGATATGTGTTTCAACCAGGTGAACTCCCCTGGAATAAAGAGCCCAGAGGGGATTGGGAATAGAAGAGTTAGAACACAAATGTGAGTCTCACTGAAAGAGAATACTGTTTCTTAAACTTCCTAGGCCCTGTCTAGGACACAGAATTTTCAAATTAGCCTAATGATTCAGAGTTCTCACTCTTTACCTGTACCAAACTTAGTGTAGGACAAAAAAATGTAAATGCTCATAATTAAAAACAAAATCACACTTTAAAAATTATGTAGAGCTGGAGAAAGGGCTCAGCTGTTAAGAGCACTTGTTGCTGTTGCAGAGGACCCAAGTTCAATTTCCAACACCCGCTTCAGGATGCTCACAACCGCCTATAACTCCAGCACCAAGGCTTCACTAGACTTCTCACACACTCACTCATATGTGCACCCCACACACATGCATAACTAAAAATAACTTGTTAAAACATTTAAAATTGCGGGCCGGGCGGTGGTGGCGCACGCCTTTAATCCCAGCACTCGGGAGGCAGAGGCAGGCGGATCTCTGTGAGTTCGAGGCCAGGCTGGACCGACAGCCTCCAAAACAATACAGAGAAACCCTGTCTCGTAAAAACCAAAAAAAAAAAAAAAACATTTAAAATTGCATCCACCCAAGAATGAGATATAGCACTTCCTTTCCTTTATTAGCAATGATTTAAAAAAATCTAGTCATCATGAACTGCCCAAGTATGAGGGCAGAAGCATTGGTGAAAGGGCCTCCTTCACACAAAGGTGAGGGTTTAGAGACACAAAACTTTCCAGAAGGCTAATCTGTAAGCTGACAATTTCAACAGAAAGTTAAATATAGCTACTTTCATCTACGAATTCGTCTATGAATTTATTCCGAAGAGATTATTAGACAAATGGGCCAAGGTTCACACAGAAAATATGCTGCTTATGGCATTATTAGTAATACCAAGTTTTTATAAATATCTCAGTATCATCAAATGGAGAGTATTTAAAGAGATCGAGGTATACTACACAACAGAGTCCTGCCCCCAGTTAGAAGGATAGTGGGAATCTGTGAGGCATACTGGGGCACTTCCTTCAGGTTCTTTATTGAAGGGAAGGATTCCTGTCCATCATTCCACCCCTGAAAACAGCATGCACACACACTGCACCATGCAACACAAAGAATGGGCCCGTCCAAGTTGGTGGTGCATAGAGGCTCTGAGTGCTGAGGTGTCTGGTGATTTTTTTTCTTTCCTTATAAAAAAAACCATTGCCATTTGAATTTTTGATTGGGTGCATGGTATCTTTACAAATAGAAAATCAACTATATTTAAAGGTCAAACGAAAACTTTTAAAGGGGGTGTAGCGCTCCCAGAGAAAGGGCAGTGATGAAATTGGAATGATAGCTGGTTTTGGAGGAGAATGTAGAGGGAGTCTGAAACCTGCTGCAGATTGTGTGTGGAGTGATTCAAGCCCTAGAGAAGCTGACAAGCCCCACCCCTTATGAGCCTGTGCTTCACAGTCGGTCCTTAAGCTGAAAGGCCAGCTCTGTCATTTTCTAGGTAATGAAACTTGGGACAAATTACTTAGCCTTCTGTTTCTCAGTGTCCACATCTATAAAACAAGACAGCAATATCACCTGCCTCTAAGAGTGTCACGAGGACTCAGGGTAAATGAAAAACACCCAGCACAATGCCTGGCATGTAACCAAGGCTCAGTAGACACTAGCACTCACATTGGGAGGTCTAGGCTATGAAGTTTAAGGTGAAGTTCAAGATGCATAGGGTTCAGGGATGTGACAGTCTCATCCATCTCTGTTGCTCACTTTGCAAGATGAGAATAATATACAGAAGGGTCATGTTGAAGATTTAGTGCCAAATGCCCACGCAGCACTTAGTCACAGTGAGTTTTCAATTTGTACTTGTCACTATAAACATACAATAATTATTTGACTATGAAACAAGCAGCAAGCTTCCTGGCCTCAGAGGTATCCAGGTAGGCTAAGCAACCACTCATGGAAGGACCTAGAGACTTATTCACAAAAAGATTCAACTAGACCTGAAAAGCCTATGCAAAGTCATGGAATCATAGGAATGACTTTGGCATGATGTGCAGGATGACAGGATCATCACCTTAGGGAGTCACATGACAATTCCATGGTCAGAGACTAGCCTGATTTTCAGGCCAGTGAGTCAGGTGATGATGATTCTTCCAAACTGCTCATTCTTTCTTAAACACAGCTCTACTGTTCTGGGAAGGCTGAAGAGGGTGGTTTACCCAGTGGTGGGTTACAGAACCCATGGATGTGGTTGGTTGCAAGATCCATTCTCTCTCCCCAGAAACACACACATTATACAGTCCCTGAGACCTACAAGGAGACATGGCTGCAGGCAGACACTGCCAGAACAGGAAGCACATGCTGGTCACTCCTTTGAACATTATCTCATCTACTTCTCATGAGACTGATCCACTGTCAGGTTATCATCCCATTTTACAGATAACAGTTTTTAAAAAATGAGATCCTTCAGTGAGTAAGAAATGGGGTCTAAGGTACACTTACAATTTGAAGTTGGTTTATTTCAAAAGCTTTATGACAGCATCTTAAATGGGCTTTAATCCCTTTTAGGACCAGGTGTACATATGCACCCAGGATTGGAGGGGTCAAGTGAATCCTCTCAAGGTAGTAGGAGTGGAGAAAGTCAATGTGGCCAGGGGATTACCTGGAACCCTAGAGAGAAAGTGTAGGCTGCATCCTACCTGCTACATAGGAATCTGTAAGCAGCAGGAATTGAGCATATTGCCAAGAGTTCCTGCTTCAGGAGCTAAGGGCTATTGCTAGAGAAGCCAAGAGTTTGAGTCTGCTCAGCAAGATGAAGCACCACACAGATTACTCATTCTAAGATACCCAAGTGCTGGGAAGGGGCCACATTTGTCACTTCCTTCCTTTTACGGTCTCTTGGTTAACCCAGGCAGGCTATGAATTTGCATCATCCACACCTCTCTGTCCTGCTTTGTTATGGCTAGGATTGGTCATGACAGTCCCCTATGTTTCTAGGGTGATTTTTCCAGCCACTGCCAGCATCTGTCCACCCACCAGGCAGTTCCCATGGGGACAGAGCTAAAGCTTCCTGACTTGAAATTTCAGATTCAAATTGTATCTCTTTGACCTTCAGGAGCCTTGAAACTTCTCATCAGTCAGGATGATAACCTACCCTTCTGTTGTAAGGGTTAAAAGCGATCATTATATACTGGAAAGACGGGGGGGGGGCAATATTAGAGAGCCAAAGTCTGGAGCGTCGCACTTTAGGGTCAGAACCTGGCTCTCCCACTAGCTGTTTATCTTCAGACATGTTACTTAACCTTTCTGAGTCTCAGAGTCATCAGTTGTAAAATGGGTGAAATAGCACCGTCTATGTAGGAGTTTTGCGTTGAGTAAACGAGTTCAGAATTTTAGAGCACTTGCCGCTGCACCTGTCACATTAGTGGTTACTCAGTAAATGTGAGTTGTTATGATTAATGTGTGGAAAGCCCTCAGCATGGTAAAAAAATGAGTATCCAATAAATGGTGGCTGTTATTCTTACAAGGTACATGCTCCTCGGAGAATTTTGTGCACATTTATCTCCTCGAAAGCAATAAAAATGAAGATGTTTGAGAAGAAGCTTGTCCTTAGGTAAATGTCAGTCACAGCTGGGAGAAGCCATGGTTCTCTTGTCCCTTCAGAGGACCTCCACCAGCCCTGCCTGTGCCCAGGCTCTCCTCTGCTTCCTGTGGACCTGCCCTTCACTCTCTCAGCACATGCCTACCAGGCACCTACAGGGAGCCTGAAGGAGGCCTGGAAGCCCAAGCCCAGAATGCAAAAGCTCCTGCTTCATCTTCTCTAGTTACGAGCTAGTGGGCAATACACAACAAGGAAGTGTACACCAACAATGGTTATTTAATGACAGCTGGATTTGAACCTGAAAGCATGTGATAGTAGGGATCCCAGTGACACCATCTTATGGCCATCTCCACTTCCCCTTTCTCCCACCTCCCTGGCAACCTATCCATATGCTGTCTACTAAAATTCTGTTTTAATTTCGAGAAGGCCGTGCAAACATAATCATGCAAAGCAATCCTTTGAGACAGTCTTGTTTTTCCTACTCCACCTGAGTGATGTATGTCCATATTTTCTTTTTTTTTATTGCTGAGTAGATTTCACGTGTTGGATGTAGCATTGGCATCTAAGATGGTGCGGTCTGGCGTTAGGGCTATGGCTAAGGAGGAAGTCATTGTAAAGGCTCCTTAAAGAGATGCTAGTTGAGGTAGTTGTTCATAGATGAAGAGCAGTTGGCTGGGCAGTAACTGCAGGAAGAGGAAGTGATCATGGTGGACAGGCATTTGGTTGTAAGGCCCTACACCCAAAGGGCACCTCACTCACTAAGTGGACTGAGAGAAGGCAGATGGCGGGTTGAATCCTAGACACTCTCACTCAAAGGAAACTCAGTTAGGAGGTTAGAACTTGGTGACTGTGGTTTCTCCCTTTCCAGTCTCTTCCTGATTAACTATAAATACTGTCTGGTCTCCAGTGCTGGCCCCACAGATGCAGTGACCGTGGTTTTCAATTGAACACCTCCAAAAAAAAAATTAAAAGACTGCAGAAGTGGCTCACTGCCCACATGTGAACTTCAGCCAAGACTCCACAACAGAGCCCAGCCCTCTGAGTCTCCCAGATGCCTCGACTCTGTCCTAGTCAGACCCTTCTGGGTTTTGTGAAGCTATTTAAGAAGTTAAGCTTCCCTCGCTGAAACGCAGGGAAGCAACATGGAAGAAAATAATGGCGTCGGTGGAGAAATTTCTGATTGACATAAGTGGGGAAGTTCCCTTAAGAACATCATGTACCATCTAAGCAACAAAGCTCCAGTTCATCTCTTACTCTGTTTATTTACGTGCTATGGCAAGAAGATGTGTTTAAGGTTCCCATAGCCTTGCACTACAATTCAATGCTTTGGGAAAAGCAGCCATATGGTCCAGACATAGCAGTTTCATTTCAGAATTCACACATTCCAAGTGTGGCACTATCCCCTAAATGGTACTTTTGTTGTCTTTTTGTTCAAGACAGAGAGATTCTTGTAGGATCAGAACTGTTTCTTGGAATCCACTGATAGACAAGCCCATCAGTTCTCTTGGTAGGTCAGATGCTTCATAATTAGCTGAACTCAACTGATTATCTACTTGGTGATTATGACTACAGTGACATAATATTTCAACTGCAGGGGAAGCATTCCAGACAGCTCCTAAGTAGCATAGTCAGGCTGGGGATGGCTGGCAGGGCTTCCTGCATTAGGAAGAGCAGACCACTACATCCTTCTTGGTCATTCTCCTTGTCTCCATCATTAGAAACTTCTCTAAAGACCTAAGGGAGATGTGCTCATGACAAGTGTGTTGTTCTCCCTCTCACTGAGGCTCGATGGCCCAGCAAAGTATGAAAGTGAGGCCTGTGCTCCTGAAGCGAAGCAGTCTTGAGTCTGTGGAGCTTGTGAAACAACCACACCACCGCAGGAGCAAATCGCAGCAAGTGCGATTCAAGGAAGATGGGAACACTAAGAGTCCGACTGGCATAGCTGAGGTTGATACCCAAACTCCTGAAGACCCGGGTCTAATGGGGAAGACGCAAGCATCCCAGCACCATCACCCTACCACCTACTCGCTGTCTTTCCCCAGGTCCCACAAGGCAGGAGGCTTTCGCAGCATCTCTATCCAGACCTCCCCCAGTCTCAGGAAGCATTTCCCAGTTTTCAAAAGAAAGAAACTCACGACTAGCAAGTCCCTGGTAGAAATGCCAACAGCATCCCCAAGTGCCATCCAAGTCAACGGCAACCTCTCTGAACAGGATGTTGCGTCATCTGACCTTGCCTTCCTGAGGCTGGCTCAGCATCTTGAGGATGGACCTCGAAGACTGAAAATGCCCCACCCATTTCTCCCTAGGATGTCCAAGGTGCAAAGCAATGGGCCTGTTAGCTTCTGCTTGGAATCTGGAACCTGGAGGTCCTCAGAGAAAGCAACAGCTGCCATTCAGGTTCCGGATGACATTTGTCATAGTCCAACCTGGGAAGCTAGAGAGTCAGCTTTCAGCCAAGAAAGCTCAGCGAAAGAAAGCAACTCCATACCCACTTTGGTTGCCATGTGTCCGGGGGATGGGCAAAGAGTGCTGACATCAGATCCGGAAAGATTCCCCTCCTGTTTAAACGCCAACAGCAGTGCCAGCAACACCCCAGGCACAGGAAAACTCACACCTGAATTGCTTTTGCCCAAAGATAACCCTGACAACAAAGATCTTGGCTCTCTGGCATCTCAGTCAAAGAAGACGTGTGTTCCCTCACCATCACGGACTCACAGCTCCTCTGAGCTGGGCTCCCACAGCCAGCCAGCCCATGTGGGAAGAGCCTCTGATTGCCCAGCCTCCAGTGGCAATCACCAGGACCCAGAACCACTCAAAAGTAGTAATGCATCCAAGTCTGTTCCTGTGTGTTGGCAGCATGTGGCAAAGCTCCCCAGCCAGTCAGACACCCCAGAGCTTCAGACTGGCCTGGGAAGTGAGCACCCCCCTTCCTCACTTCCAAGGCATGAGTACAAGCCTCAGAGCAGCAGGGAGCTCAGTGGGAGTAATCATAGTCACCTGGCACAGGGCGAACTCTGTGACCTCCAAGGCCGGCTGCAATCAGTGGAGGAATCGCTGCATTCAAACCAAGAGAAAATTAAAGTCCTATTGAATGTGATTCAAGATCTGGAGAAAGCTCGCGCTCTCACTGAAGGGTAAGGTGAACCTCTTTGTATTAAAACCTCCGAGTGAAGTCATTTGCTGGGAAGGGGCAGAGTGAGAGCACAGGTCACCGCAAAAAAGTATCTTCCAAATGTTCATGATCTGTTGTTTGCCCAGATGATAACTAATGCCCTCCCTCTGCCCTGTCTGGGTTTTGATAATCCTCTGGCAGCTCTGGATAGATGCCCATGGTTAACTCACTACTGTTTTCAGGTTTTAGCCAGTTGGGGAAAGGGATGAATGAAGTCTAGGATTGAAAAAATGGCTTATAGAGATGAGTGTCTAGTAAATGGTGGTGGGGTAACAGCAGTAGTGTCTTCCTATCCTCTGAGTGAGTTAACAAATTTGCATTGCTTTAGTTTCACATGTGTTTGCCCCAAACGGCTAAGGGAATCCCTACATCGGGCTTCCTCTCTACTGACTATGTTGATGACTTGGGTTAGTCTGACACTGACCAACTCAGTGAAAATGAAGCCAAAGTTCTGACAGAAGAAAGTCAGAGCATACTGTCCAAGTGATGGACTCAGTAGTGGTGTGGAGGGCATCAGGCAGTATTTGTTGAGGCACAGAGTGATCACCCCTCTAGAAAGGCTCTAAATACCAAGAGAAGGCAATGGTTGAAGCTCATTAAACAAGGCTGGAAAGAGAAGTAAGTAGCTGGAGGTGGCCACTAGCAATCAACTCAGACAGACTCCCTTAGGAGACTGTGCTGACCGAGAAACACCAAGCACAGGGGTCAGGAGTCTCCATATTCACTCACCTGCAAAGCTCTTCATCTTTCAGGACCAATATCAGAAAGACACATGATATTTGAAAGTGGTTAGAGATGTACCAAGCACCTCAGAAATGGGAGGTTCCATTATTACAAACTCATTCATCATCGTCCTTGTATCTCCATGTATCTCGGGGCATCATGAATGCTGAGCTGTGGGAACTAAGATCATAGACTGAGTTGATAGAATTTGTGTCTCATGTGGCATTAGCCTATGCATTTATCCTCAACCTGTTCTGTCTTATAGGCGGAACTTTTATCGAACAGGCCAAGATCTCAACAACTGCAGCACCTGTCAGAACACGGCGTGCATCATATACAGGTATCAGCCCAAACTGTGACCTGCGATGCAGAGCAGGAAGTCTCAGGTCCACAGAACACACTATGTGCTATGTGTAGAGAGCTGGGAGAGACAGAGACAAGTGCCTGAGTCTTAAAATGAAAGGTGTTTGTGCAATGTCTTATCTGGTACCAAGGCAAGGACTGTTTTGTTTCTTATCCACAAGGTCTAGGAGCAAATCCTCTGATGCAATAGGTAACCAGGAGAACAGATAACCATCCACCTCTTTACACACATCTGCATCTCATCTCAGTTCATTGTCAGAAGGTGGGGAGAGGAATTCAGAAAGTATAGAGGTTTGCCCAACTCATGCAGAATATCTTGAGAGCAGAAGGGGCCAGGATTGGGACTCATATCCAGGTCTTCTAATCCTAGTTACCCTATCTCACCAACTCTTCTCTAAACTCAATTTCCTATATCACAACTTCTGTGTCAACTACTACCAGCACTTTGTGTTCACTGGTAAATACACTATTTCTTCCCAGTGTAAGACAAAGCTGCAGTAAAATCAATTATGAGACCTGTGTTTGAAGTCCTAAATCTGACACCAGCCCACTTGTCTGACCCTGGAGAGTAGGCATAGTGACCTCTATTCAGGCTTACCAGGAAAACTGACACAATGTCTGTGAATTAACTTGGAGACTGCAAATACCTGCACACAAGTGAAGGTGCATTGCTGTTACTTCTGGAAAGATTAGTAATCTCCTTGCCCAGAGGCCCACTTGGCAGCACCCTGGAAATACAGCCAGAGCACTCATTTTAGATGATGACATCTAATTTTGTTGGACAAAAGAGCATGGTTTTGTTTTCTGCATGACATTTCTCTTTGGAAAGAGAGAGCAAGGGCCTGAGAAAACTACTGTCCACTAGGCTGCCTGTTTTCTCTCAGAGCATTTCCTTCCCTCTGTTGTAGCCTGAGATCTCATGCTGAGGAACCTGGACACCAACTGGTGCTTCCATGTAGACAGGACCCTGGGCATCTTCTCATTGGCCTGTTGACACCCTACATGGAAGATTGCATGTCTATACCAGATATTAGGAAACTCAAGACTATTTACACAGTCCCCACAAAGCGAAAAGCAGGCTTTCCCATCTCAAAGCAATAGCCCCTCCAGAAGAGAGAATTCTTGAGAAAGGCCTGCTGCACTGGAAAGTGAAACCACAGGTCTCATCAGTTGCTGCTCTTCATTTTTAATCTCTCATCCTAAGCAGAATTCCTAATCACTAAGAGTACAAAAATTACTACATGTCTAGACAGCAAAGCAGGCTAAAATAACTATTCATCAGAATCAGGAAGAATTGATCTAAACTAACTTGCACTTACATTTTAGACAGAATTCCTTCAAGTACCCAGGTGATATATTTTCTATTATTTTCAGTGATTTTCCTTTTCAATATGGCTAATGTTGGTAAAAGAGGTACATGATTATTTCCCAGTCTAGTGCCAATTTCATGACCTTCTCCTAGGCAAGTCATGTCTGGTTTCTAGGATTCCTCACTGGAGAAATGAGAGGCTTTAATGACCCCCAGTGGCACCGTGTAGTTCTGACATTTTGTTATTCTAAATTGAATTAACAGTGACAATATTTGGTAAAACTGTGACTTTCTGGGGACTGAGAATGTTTGTGTTTTCCTAACACTTGCTTCAAAGATCCCACGCAGGCTTTCTAAGGGGAGTTACATCCCAGCTGGCATTGCACACCTTCATGCTCTCTTCCCATCCTGCCCCAGCACACATTGTTTGTGTCTGTCCTTCCACACATCCAGCCCTTGCTGCCATTTAAAGCCTGACTGTCATCCCAGACAGTATCTGTATCCTTGCTTCCAAATCACTGCAACGGAATGGGCAATTAATTTGATGAAAGCAAAAAAGATCAGAACATCATCCCTGTCATGGCAACAGTGAGACAAGAGTTGTCATTTAAGAAAAAAATTTTTCAAATGACTTCAAACTTGTGTTGTGTCCTGGAAAGTCAAATCTTAGGAGCTAATGAGCAAGTGATGTGAAATACTCATCCTCAGGCTGTAGTCTCTCTCCCTGATGACAGATGGGTCCAGCGCCCATCACTGTACATAAAGCACATGGTACATGATGGATTGCCTAGTAGCTTTTCTTCCCCAGAGAGGCTGCTAAGTTAGCAACACATAAGGTTTGCTAAGTGGTGTTGCCCACGGGCCTCACCTCATCAGCCATGGGCTATGGCTATGCTTCCTGCTCCTGTCAAGATGTTGAGTTCACTGGTTCTAAGCAGCTCATTCTCACTGACCCCCAAGTCTCCTTGGTTCCCTGCTCTTGCCAGGAATATCTTGACTAAACCATCAAGGAATACATCGTCACTATTGATGTACTCCTAAAGGCACTGGGCAGTGTTCTCTGGGGCTTCCAGAGGTTCAATGTACCAAGGAGAATAACTTCAAGATTTTTAGTGTGTATGTGGGGGGGTTGTCTTGTTTTGTTTTTTGGATGGGTGGGGTAGGGGTCTTGTTTGGTAGTACTGAAGAGTAGACATAGAGCTTTTCAGTAGTAGTCAAGCACAGGACCACTGAACTTTATCCTCAGCACTATGTGTATTTTCTAACTAAACTTCCAGAGGAGGGGTAGGAGTTGGCTTTACCCTGTCTTAAGCTGCTTCTAGCCTGTTCAGTCTCCATTTGTTCTTGTTAGCTTTAATCCCAGGTCAATTTACCCAAGGGGTTCCATGAATGCCACTGGTTGTTCCCAAGATTAAATAACACGGAATTACTTAGTGAGAAACTTGTTCTCTTTTCAATTTTATTTCAATTCTTCTGATTACCTAGAAGGAAAATCTGTGCTCCTTGCCACAGCATCTTTCAGCCCTTCTTAGTGCTTGCTTATCACATTTCTTTGCAAAGAGAGAACAGATCTCAGGTTCATAGCCATGGGCAAGCAACAGTATCTAGCCAGATTGTAGTAATTTTAAGCATTTTTGTTGAATCTTTTAACTTGTAAAAGTAATCCTCTTAAATATTCATGAGGAATGATACAGGTCTCCATTTCTAAAATTACCTTGCTTGGGTTTATATATTTGCTTAAATTTAAAAAGTAGGCTAATTTTGAACAGAAAAGGTTAAGTAAGAAATTGTGAAGTGGGTGTAGGAGAATCTCACAAAAACAACCAGGATATTGAGGTGCAGTAGCACATGCCTGTAATCCCAGCATTTGGTAGACAGAGGCAGAGGGATTAGTGTTAGGTCAAGGCCATTGTGTGTGTGTGTGTGTGTGTGTGTGTGTGTGTGTGTGAGAGAGAGAGAGAGAGAGAGAGAGGGAGGGAGGGAGAGAGAGAGAGAGAGAGAGAGAGAGAGAGAGAGAGAGAGAGAGAGAGAGAGAGAGAGAGAGAGAGCACAAAAAGGAAAATATCTAGGAGATACATCCATTTCCTCCATTCTTCACCTTGTCCCCTGATCCTCCAGCCACATCTGCCTGCATTTCATCATCATACTCACTCTAAAAGTAGTCAGCAGAGCCTCTTTGGAGGACTTGGTTCATGCACTTATTTTTCTGGATCTAGCTCTTGGGGGAGGGGGGAAATCTACTTGATTTAAGTTGTAAAATGCCTCCAACATTACCAGGGAAAATAGTAAGATTTACCCTTCTAAGGGGTTGGAATACATCTCCCATCCAAGCATATTCCATAGGAAATGGGTATAATTTCTGAGCTCATGGGTCAATGGAAATGTTGGCCATGTAATGTTTGAAAGGTGAACAGGGAAATGGGGAGCTGCCATCCAATGTCTCATTCTAGCCTCTTCCCATTTCTTCAGTGGCATTCATGGACTTTAAGTCTGTGTCACACTTTTCCTTACCTCTTTTTTTTTGAAAAATGTAGGTCTATGTATGTTTTACACACACACACACACACACACACACACACACACACACACGGTTTTCAACCAACCACTGATATGTAATACTCAACATCTATCAGTTCCCTGTTTCTATCATGACATACCTGAGGCAAGTAACTTATAAAATGTGAAAAGGTTATTTAGCTCATGGTTCTAAAGGTTTCAGTGCAAACTTGGGCAATCCCATTGCTTTCAGCCTCAAGTATGACAGAACATTCCAGCAGAAATCCAACATGAAGGAAGCCACATACATCATAAACAAGGAAGCAAAGAGGGTTTGAGACCTCAGTTCATAATCGTCTTCAAGAATAACCTCCCAATGACCTAATGATCTCTCAGGGCCCCACCTACTAAAGATCCACAGTAGCCCCTAATGCTATCACCTTGCAGCGAAACTTCTAACACATGGACAACCCTGGGATGCACTTCTTAGTCAGAGTGACACCCTCAAGTTCATGTCATACTCTTCAATTATCCCTTAGAAAATTAGCTCCCTTCTCACACTGCCTGCCTTAGCACCATCAGTTGTGTGGGAACTCTGAAAGACACCCCACAGTCACACAGTCCCTTTGTCATTTACTCTCGTTCATTTACTTTACACCCATTTAGCTGTTACAATTCTCCCTAGTAAATCTGGTCCTCACATGTCAACCCCTCTACTCTGGCTAAGTAAAATTCCTTACCACAAAGTTCAATCACCTCAAAGCTGGTTGGTCTTTTTTTCAACAGTTTTTTTTTGGTCCTATCTTTAATATTCCTCTATGTGCACTGCCAATTTATACCTGAAAATAGAATCTGGCCATGTTACTCCCCTGCTAAGTAACCTTGTCCTGGCTCCCTTTTCCCTTAGCTGGCCTTTTCAAGGCCCTTGGAACATGATGCTAAAGCCTTTCACTTGCAGTGTTTCCAGTTCCTCTCCAGACCCAAAGACTGCTTAGCTGTGTGCTCAAGACTCAGGCCCCAAAGACTCAAAGAAGGTCCCGAAGGCATACCCATTCCTCTGCTATACCACGAATCCATATCAAGGTCCAATGTGTAGTTTACAGTTGGTATTTAACTGATGCTTACGAGAAAAAACACACAAAAACATGACTATATTGAAGTGAGGTGAAGAG